ACTTTCTCTTATTTCATTTAATTTCGTTTTTCGTTATTTTAATTCGTTCTAAATCCTTTTCAAGGAAAGAAACGGAAAGATTTTGCGCTGCCCGATAGTATCAAAACCTCCATCCAGTCCATTCCACTCAACTCAGGAAGCGATGTTAAGGATATTGTGATTCAGTTTCAAGAAGCTCTGCAGTTGAAAGCAACATCTATGGCCATTCCAGAGCCTGAGACGAAAAGTATGATTCGTGACCTCGCCCTGAGAGCTAAATCTGAGAAACGGGATGATTTGGTGAGACACTTACGAGATATTACACCTGCTGGTACTACTGGTGAGTTTGAGAAGATGAAATTTTTTTGCACACTGGGGAGAGGGGATAGGTTTCTAAGATATAAAGAAGTTCTCACATAAGCGTCCTCTCTATGCACCATTAAATTAATGTCGACGTGAGCTTGATTTTATTGTGAAGTTGTATTTGCTGTTAATGCCCTCTTGATCTGCTTTAATATGTATATTTTTTGTCTTTGTTTTAAGTATTCTAAAATAAATTCAGCTATATTTATCTTCTTTTTCTGTTTGTTTGTCTCTACAGGACCGTTGTTGAATGAGGATATGTCAGTTGGTTGCATGCCATATAAACAATACGAGGAGTTAACGTTCAGCCTCTCGGGTAAGGAATAAGGTTGGCGTCCGCACACCAATTTATTCATAAACTTGTTTTAATCTTTGATTGAATTCATAGGTTGTTGTCTCTCGTCTCTGAAAAGGACTCTCGAAAAAACTCGGGCAAGATTCGATTCTGCAGATGCGTTTTCAGATTAAATTCTGGCTAGATTATTTTACAGTTAGCTAAATTTCGTCCGCTTTCGTCAAAACCCTTTCCAGAAGGATGAGCTGACAATAATTTAGACGAAATTTGGAGGATATCGGGCGCCAAGAAAATGTGAGCAATTTATGCCATTCAACCATACGGTCTACAGGTCAAAGTTCTGTTTTTCAATTGTAACACAGTTTATAAAAGAGCATAATATGTTTTTCTACGTAGGTGGAGACGAGTGGAAACTGTTGGCAGAAAGGCTGGGTTTATCCCAAATCCAGATTCGCTTTCTAGACAAGAGAGTTACGAATCCTTCTGACGTTGTCCTTAGCGCTGTGGGAAAGCATCGCCACCTGAGTGTCGGAGAAATCTATGACACATTAGTCGACTGCGAGCTACCAGCTATCGCAGATCTAATGTAAATTAGAATATGAATACCAGAAGAAGGCGACTGATACAGCAAGAACCAGTAGCAAGAAGCAAGGTAGCGGCCGAAGACTTATTTGCGAGAGATCTAAGGGAAAATACAGTTCTTGAGCTTGGAGTCGATAATAATGCGTTGAGGTGCGACAGCATCATTTGAGCAGATTAATAGTTGCTCATAATTGCATGTTTGTAAAGTACGAAAAAAAACTTTAAATGTAGATTTTCTTTGAATTTATATCTTCGTTGTCCTTGCGAGTAGGTATATCATAGACATAAAGCCATTATGAATTAATTTGGAGTAGTTGTTGCATTTGAAACGGAGGAACTACGGAAAAAGGACCGAGGTTGACTTATCTCCACTAACAGAGGTATAGCCTCGGATAGGGCCTGGTAAATAGCATGTGACAATCTTCAATATATTAGATTCGTGGCCTTTAATTCAAGTATATTTTCCGTGTTTTCTGGCCAGTTAAATGAAATTTTTTAAAAGCACCAGTGAATCTAATTTCTCATTTCTATCGAAAAACAATTTTAACATGGTGAGGACATGCTGAAATAATATAGTTTTGCATTACTTTTATGTCTTCATGGCCATGGTCTTGGTGCTAATTTTAATCTTTCTGAGCTTTTTGTGCATGCAAGTGATTAAAGGGACAGTAACAACAAATGTTCATTTTATCGGAATATTATTACAACATAATAGCAGGGATTTACAGCGCAGGGAAGGGATGGGATCCTCCGCTAAATAGCTCAAATAAATAGCATGCAAGACGTTTGAAATCTAGTCGTAAGCATCAAGTGCTTCCTTCCTATTCAGCAGTGACGAAATTTCTTTAACCGCGGAACTCAAATGAAGTGACAAGGTTTACTTGTGCATGCAACATCTCTGTATTGGTATCCAGTTTTCATATTTTGTTGACAAATACACTGCTAGAAAATGATGATCTCGTAGTTAGTAACACATGTACACTCTGAAATTCCCTTTTTGGTTTGATAAAAGAATAAGAAGGTTTTTGTTTCAGAAAGAAAAAAACTCAGTTGAACATTAGATTAACCTTTCAGATTGCAGTTATCCATCTATACCTTTAGATAGAGAAAGACGTCTTGAGAGTGAAGTACACTATTGAAAAAACAATGATTTGTT